AGCTTGAAGTGGCATCCCGGGTCTAAGTCTTGCATTATAGACCTTAGCCCATACTTCTTGTCTCTCTTTCGTGAGACACCCATCTTGCGGTGGCTTGATCCTCATGTTCGAGAGTGACCTAGTCACATCTTCCACAAGTCCATCATAGTTGCCTCTGGTACTTTTGGTGACTCTCAAATTGACTACATCTTCTAGAGCTTTGAGCATCATGTCCGGAAAATAGTTGGAGAACTTCCCCTTCCATTGTACCGGGATGGAGTTTGCCATGAGTCTGGAAACTCTTTTACAATCCACACTCCATACCTCATGTGCCTCATCACTCATAATCCCCTTTGAGTAGAAACTCGGGATTTGAGTGTCCAGAATGTGCTCTAGGTAGCAATTTCGGAGGGTCTTTCGGAGTTCCTCTTCCCATTCCTTAAAGTTTACCAAGTTCAGAGAAATTGGCAACTTTTCGGGCAATTCCGGGAGCATAAGGTCGTTGACATTAGTTGAAGACATGATTCTACAATTGAAAGAATTTGAAATAAAAAACCATTCATTATACTTAAATAAGATTGAATTCATGCATTTTAATCAAACTTATTTAAAACGTCTTATTCACACATTAAAGATTGTCCCCATTTTAGGTGAGAATAAGTCGATTCCAAGATCCAAAGAAACAAAGAGTGGTTAAGCATGATTTTGCTTGTCTTAACACTCAATCTCCTAAGGTAAGCAACGCTTTGCTAATGGCTCCAAGCCACTCTTGGTTGAATAAATCGTCGCATCCAATGCTCTCTAAACAATTTATTCACTTTGCCACGACATGTTAGGACTCCATCACTCATATCGTTGAGTATAACCAAAACCACCTTGCATACCCGGTATGCCTTACGTTCCTTGGAGAAGTAGTGATGCCTCGCTTTGGCGTAGCCCACCACTACCCTCGTTCGGTTGGTAAGTGTGTTTTGGAATGACAAGTTTTACTCAATATTTTAGGGACCTAGGGTTTCTATGTTGGTTGATTTAAGTGAACTTAATTAATCATCTCAACATTCGAAATCCTAAACATGCATCTAACATATAATTCATATATATATAAACATAAATATATATCGAAAACATAAATAGAGATGCATTTGGCAACTAGCATGACCCCTTGAGATCTTCAAGTCTTCAAAAGGTCTTCATTTGCAACTTCATGGCTTTGTCTTCTAAGAACCCCGTCTTCAAGACTTGACCAAAATATTACAATTGCTAGTATCTACGATTAGGACTAATCTAAATATTAAGGTACAAAAATACTCAACGGTTCGCAGACCGTATTTAGATTTACAAAAATACATCACGGATCACAGTCCGTATTTTCTATCCTAATCGGGCCCCACTAGTTGCCATTTCATAAAACCCGTGAGAGAATTTACATTCCATTCATCCATTCACTATCTGTGAATGGCCCATGCATTTTACAACGATAAACAACTAACAATGCATAAAACGCGTGAGAACTAGTAACTAATCTAGGTGGTTAATCCAATTAACACGCCTAATTAAACTAGTCAAAGTTGTTTTAACCGGTTATGGTAATAACTTAGAGACGCTCCCACTAAATTCCGCATCCAACTTAACTAATCCAATTAATTAAGTCGGTGAACCCAAATATTTGCCAAAATTAATTTTTGCAAATGTCGCTCAAAAATCGAGGCCTAGCCTCCAAAAATTTTAATTAAATAAACAAAATAATTAAAATAATTAATTAAAACGACAATTTAAGCAAAATACGTATTCCAAAATGTCTAAGTGCCTAGCACTAAGACTTGGAGTCCAAAAATTACCTTTACTTACATATTAAGCAACGCTAAAATTAACTTTAAAAGAGCATCGCCTTAATAACCCGGGGTTATTGTGCCAATTATGGGATTGTACGTACCGTACAACAAGCACGTAGTATGCCCATGCGCACCCCCGCAACACCAAGCATGCATGTGGGCTGATTGTGCTCGCATGCGCTACGCCCATCCCAGCCAAGCGTAGCAGCACGCACAGCGCGCACAGCATTATGCTGCTGCTGCGCCATGCTGCTGCTTGCTGCTGGCAGCGAGCAGCAGCCCACGCCCTTCCTCGCACACACACACGCACAGCACCAAGCACCTACGAACGAAGTGCCCAGCAGCCTCGGTAGCCACATATGGGTTGCGTGAGTAGCCCAACTAGCCGAGAGCTAGCTCGGGGCTCTTAGGCCTCGTGTTGTGTGCTAATGCTTCGAAAATTATCGATTTTGTGTGTGACATTATAAATCAATTCTAAATTAATTTTAGAATCAATTTTAAGGAAAAATGAAAAATAACAAGTCCAACTTAAATAATTCATCCAAATGCAATTAACCAAATTTATTTTCAAGAACCATTCTTTAATAAAATTGGTTTAACTTGGTGTAATAAAATAAATTAGGGCAATTCTCACTATTAATTTAATCACTTAGAATTAATCTTGAGATTTTGACAAAATAAAAGGGAGTTGGAAAAATGAACATAAGTTCAATAAAGACTCCAACTTTAATACTTGTGACTCCATGAAAAAATTATATCTTCCAATATGAAGATAAACCAATTTCAATCACAAGTTTTAAACTTTATGATTCCAATCAACTAAAAAATGATTAAATCAACAAAGTTAAACCAAAATTCATGGAATTTAGTAACTCAAAGTTTCAATCACTTATCATAAATAAAGATTGAATCTTTAGTACTTGGAAGCAACAAAGAATAACTATTTCACACTTAATGCAATTAATTTGCAATTATGTGAAAAAATAAAACCAAACTTTCAAGCACCAATTACTACCAAGTAATCATGCTTAAAGTGGTCTAAAATTGCATATAAATTAAGGAAAGAACCAAATACATAACCACCATAAATATGCAATCAATTTTCAAGGTTAGAAAGACTTAAAATTTTTCGTCAAAATGAAAAATCCCTCGAAAAATGCATTTCTGGTCGTTTTTTTAGCTAAAAACAGAGTCCTGAAAGGGTAAAACCATTTCCAAAACGCCTTTTCCACCAAAAATTCACTATTTTTGGGTCGAAATCTGGGTTCGGGAGCTGAAGACAGCTCTAATACGAGGTAAAAATTGGAAAAACGAGTTACTAATCTAATTAGCAACTTAAAACCAAAAAAATTAAGCCATAAAAACACCTTGAAAATATTATGATTTTAAAAATAAACGAGCGAGGCTCCGATACCGCTGTTGGGGTTTGGTGAGTCCGACTCACCACGGAAACAAACCCAAAAACAAGACCGCACTCGCAATAAATAAAACCATAAACATAATTAAATTAATCACAAGATTAAGATAAGCTAATTACCTTTGACGCGTGCTTCGCTCCAAAATGAGCTCTTACTTGAAAGCTTCAAGTCCCGCTCACACGGAGACCTCCAACGAAGTCCACCAGCACCAACAAAACCGACTAGGTCCAATGTCTTGGGGTTAGCAAGACCCGACCAATAAAACCCGAGTAATTATATTGAGTTCAAAGGTTTTCACTAATTGTGATGCCTTTTTCAACTCTTACTCAAGCATCATTCCCAATGCCCATACTTGGGTATTTATAGGAAATGATGGGAGTATCATTTACTCTCCCATCAATGTGGGATAGTATGATTTTTCCATTTTATTTTAAAGCTAAAATAAAATCAATAATCAAGCTAGTAATAAATCAACAAGTGGCAAGCTCATGTGAGTGGTTAGGTGAGGACCACTTGGAGAAGGGGGGGGGACCAAACTTGCTCCCCACTCCCTCTCCCATAACCGGCCACCTCACTCCACACACACTCAAGGACCACAAGCCACATGGCACCCACCCTTGGGCACCAAGGCAGCCAAGGTGGGCTGCCATGTACTGCTGTCCGTGGCAGCCACGCCCAGCAAGCCCAGCAGGCCCAACACTCGCATGCGGGCTGCCAGGCGCTGCTGGCCAGCAAGCCCAGCATGCTTGTGCGGGCTGCTGCTGGCCTTGTGCCTTGGCCAGCGCTGCTAGGCAGCAAGCAATGGCCTAGCCATGCTGCTGCTAGCTGTGGCGAGCTGGCACGCCTAGCGTGCTAGCTGCTGCAGCTTGTTGCGGCATGGCTTGCTAGCCATTGCGCGCACAAGGCTGTGCATAGCATGCTAGCACGCACTAGGCAGCACATAGCCTTGCGATGTTAGCATGGGTGCGCTAGCACGCACCAGCCAGCCTAGGCTCGGCTTGGTGCGCATGCTAGCCGCCATGCTAGGCCATACGCCCTTAGCACTCGGTTTGCTTGGGCATTCCGATGCTAGGGGTATTTTGGTCTTTTGTTGATTTATTACTATTTCTCGTCTCGTCTTTCACTATTTTCGACTCGACTTCCGACGCTCGGTTTCGACGCTCTAAGCTCGAATTTCCGACGTCTAAATAAATATTACTCGGTCGACTCATTAATTCCTTCTGAATTAATTCGTCGGTTCGGTTTGTTGAATGCTTTGGTTTGACCCGAAGGGTTCAGTCAAGATTAAGCTGTAATATTAATTATTCATTAATATTACTGATCGGAAGCGGCCTCCACCCAGGCATTCCGATCACTTGACCTCACTGAATATATTAGCTTTCTAATAATTCTGAACCCACTAACGGAATAGTACACTTGTTCGAAGGACACCATTCCTTTCAATTTTCCCACAGTCTTCGGGGGTGAAAGATCATTCACAATATCCAAGTTCCAAGAACCCTTGTCAAAATCAATGCACAAAGCCACTGTAGCCGTGGGATCATAATTATGTCACGCCAGGCTTGAGTGTGGGGAACATATACCATGGCCACCAGTAGGGGTGTTAAAAAAAAACCCGACCCGATTGTCCCGTCCCGATTTTCCGATGACCCGCAAAAAACCCGATGGGAAATTAACAATTTTTTCTGTTTTTTTCGGGTCGGGTACCCGTCCCGCTAAAATAATAGTTTTGTGGGCCGGGACATGGGGCAAGCTTTGCTATTCTCGGGTACCCGGATATCCGTTTAAAAGAAAATAAAATTTTGCTACTCCCTCAACTAGCCCGGCCCACTTACGCTTAGGGTTTCATTTTTCTCACCCCAAAAAAAAAGCCACCATCATTCACTCAGTCAGATTTCTTCTCTCTCTTTCCTTTTTCTTGCGCCTCATCTCCTTTATCAAAAAATCATCTCAATCAATTCTTCACTCGAAATTCGACCACATTCATCATCAAACATCAGTCGATTTCAGGTTAGTTTTATTTGTACTATTTTCGTGGTATTGTTGTTGTTTTTTTCATGGTATTTACTTTAGTTTTTATTAATCTAATTATTGTTTTATCATCAATTGCTAGATCTAAACCTTAAATGCCTCTGTATCACCGCTGTCCTTGACTCCTTGCCGCTGACCACTCTACAACGGTATAACAAAACATTTTCTTTCTCCCCAAAATGTTACCATTTTTTGTTAATTTTATTTAATAATTTGTCTTGTTCTTTATGTGAATTTTCAAGTAATCGGGTTGAATAATGGAGTTTGTGTTTGATTTCTCTTGAATTTAATAATTTTGTGTTTGATTATGTGTATAGTTTTATTTGATTGTTTGTAATCTGCGAGTAATTTCTTGAAAATGAAAATGGTCGTTGTTAATAGATCTATCATTTCTATGACAATATAAATATTTAATGCTTATCTGAATAGGAATGGGTTATTGATTTTTTTTTCTATTTTTGTAATTCTAGCTAATTTAATTTCATATGATTTTTTTTTTTAACTTCCTGTTTCTAGTTTATTATTCTGTTTTTTTTCCCTTCTGTTTTATCATTCTCTTTTCATTTAAATTATATCCAGTTTATATCTATATGTGATATGTTATTGCATTATTTGTGTTTTGTAGGAATGAAAGAATTGGTTTTGGAACAACCGACGTCCGACGATTGTTATTGATGAGACAATTGAAATGTCGGATCTCACAAGTGAATGAATTGAAGCCCTCCCATTTCTTTTGTTGTGTGTCTTTGTGCCATTATTTGTAATTTATATGTTTTGAAGTTATGTAATTATAGACTCAAAAACTTTGTATTTCCGTCCTTAAACTCTAGCTTGGATTTTGTTTTACTTTGATTCGTAGTTTAAAAGGTATTGCATGCTATAAATACAACATTTTTTTAAAATAAAATTACAGCAGGTTATTTTAAATAAATTACAGCAGATTTTCAGTAAAAAAATAATATTCAGCAGGTTTTTACAAATAAAAACAACGAGCATCACCAAATTTAAGATTAAAAAAATAATGAATAAAAAAATATAAGAAAAACCTGGGTACCCGTGACCCGTCCCGGATAATTCGGGTACCCGATATTCAGGTACCCGAACTATCTGGGACGGGACACGGGACGACTTATCAATTACCCGATGATCCGGGTATCCGGATATTTGGGTACCCGAATATCCGGGTACCCGAATTTAAACACCCCTAGCCACCAGGGAGCCAACACTAAATTATCCTAAATTTCTTATTAGAGCCATTTCCAATCTTCCACACAAGGCCCTCAAGAAGGAGCGCCTTTGACCCCCACATACTTCTTCAAGTATAACTCGGATCATGAACCCGATAAGCCTCAAGGACCTCTTTAAAATACCTTGCCTTCAACACCTTGTGTGTAAAAGAAGTCGGACAAGTATGAAGATGCCACATTTACTTAGTGTAGTCACCTGATTGTGTCTCCCCAAAACCAAAACCCAGTGAGGCAGTGATGAATATCTTTCATGTAATTTGATTATCAATCAAGTTGAAATGTGAAAGAGTCTCATGATTCCTCTGTTTTAATAAAAAATACTTCTTTTTGTTTTAAAAAATCATTCATTTCGTACCCTAGTTATGAAAAACGTCCATTGCATTTTATTTTACTCCATGATAAGGGTCCAATAATGGTGCAGTTAGATGGGGTTTGAAAAGACCTTTCCAACGATATATTATAAGCTCAATTTCGATGAATAATGAGTAAGTTATGACCAAAATACTAAATTGGGCTCAAACGGAATTTTACCTACGGCCCAATGATCATGTGGAAGGTCCAAAGGTTTAATCTCATTCTTAAACTAATTAGGATTTATTAGAGGCTTCTATAAGTTTCTAAAAGATCTTAATTATCCTTTTTAAGAAGATAAGATCAAAGAATTGGATAAAACTTTCCTTTTTTAAGTCCTAATTCTTTTCGAAATGAAAGACGTTCAAAGATGATCATATATTATTTTCGTTCCTCATAATTTTTATCAAAATCTTATATGGTTGGATAGATCTTGAAATTATCTTTTCAATGATATATTATAATATTAATTCCGATTTATAACGAAAAAGATATGAAAGAAATACGAAACTCTTTCCAAAACTGACACCGTCCCACTATTTCGGCCATGTCTTTTATTATACAAAATATTTTAATTTGATTTTAATTGTATTATAAAGTAGACTTCAAAAGATTTCCAATAACATATTATATGCCTTATTTAATGGATTTTTAGATAAAAAAGTTATGATAAAAAACAAAATCCGCAAAAACTGCTGACCGTCGAGTCTTATTTCGATTCGATTCGAATTCGGATTCTTTTCTGTTCCTTCGACCCTGTTTTTTCCTTATAAATAGGGTCGTATTTCCCCATTTTTATTCATTCACAATCATCAACAATCATCTATTCTCTTGTCTTTAAAAGCTAGAAGCTTATGCTTTCCTTCTCTCTTGATTTTCTAAGTCTTGCCTTTTCAAATACAACATTCCTTCTTCACGAGTCTTAGACGCACCTAGCAAAGCTCGAAGTTGCCTTCGCCCTAGACGTGAAAGGTTGATAATTTTCGAGGGTTTGGTCCCAAATCCCTATTTAAATTAATTGTTTGATTTAATATTTCCTTGAAGTTACTAACGTGTGTATTCTTTTGATTGAAAGAGATACGAGGCAACAAAGTAAGTTGTTTTATTCACTACACCAAAAAGTGGAAAAAAGAACACATGATACACAACTGTCAAAGTAGATAGGCGATCTCTAGAATGATATAGATCGCCTATGTTAGATGAACATTTTGTATGATGAAGCATACAGATCGCCTCTTCAAGTTAACCGCTCAATTTGAGTTTTTGATTTTTTTTAACAAATTGTGACCTTACAATATAGAACGCCCTACTTAGCTAACCGTTTCTATTTGATTTTACAAACCCTAGAAATCCTTCACATCGTCTAGTCGCCTCTTTCTCCTTTTTCTAAGTTACCAGCCGCTCTTATCATGAGATCTTCACTCTCATCCCTTTCTATCTCTTTTTTCTCTCTCATCCTAATATATTCAGTTTTCCCTTTTTAATTTCGTTTGAACCCCTCACCACAAATTAAATCTCAAATTTTTTTTCTAAAATGTTGTTTGGGGTTTTTCAATAATCTTGAAATTGTGCGCTAATCAAGCCCAAAATTCAATTAAAATATGTATCATTTGGGTAATTTTTTCAAGGTTACAAAGATGCAATCTTTGAGGTGAGGATATAGATTTCTAATCGTGTTTTCTGGATTTTTAAACCCAGAAAAATTGCAGCTCGTCATTTTCATCCCGCTGCTCTGTTTTCGCCAATTATTTTTGCTGCTTCTTCTCTCAAAGCTTGTTCACCTTTGCTCGATATTGCTCAAATCTCTTTTATAATTTTGGTTTTTTGCTCAATCGTCACAATCAATGTAAGTACTTCGCCAAATTTTGCTTAAATGTAGTAGAAATTCTGCTTTTTTTTTTCTCGTGCAAAGTCAAGAAATTGAATTGGGGGTTTTTGTTGTACATGATGTTCGTTGAAATTTCTTGTTGGTTGATTTGGCAGCATTTTGATACCATATTTACATTTTTTAGTGAAGAAATGAGCAAATCATGTTGGTCTCAAATTGCTAGAATATTCTTAACTACTTTTGATATTTAACAATTGTATCATATGAATTTTTGATTAAATTGCTGTAGTTATTCATACATGAATTTCAATTATTTTTCTTGATTTTCTCCTTTGCTTTTCTTTTTGATGCAGATATATAAGAGGAAGAAGAAAGATATTCTCACAGTTCTTCAGTCATACATTTTGTTAATCTCTTGAATTTGTTCTTCGGTCATTGTATTATTATTTTTTTTTTAAAAAAAGGGTCATTGTATTAATAGTCATTGTAATTTGTATTGATATTATAATTTATTAGATGAATATATTTAATTTTGGTATTTCTATATTGTATATCTACTACTACCATTTTTGTTTGGTTTGGTTTTCAATATGAAATTGGGATGTAAACTTTCGTAGACCTGCAAAATTGCAGGTGGTATATTTTTTTTTAAAAAAAATAAAAAAGAAAAGAGAACGGTTGTGTATAAGAACCGTTCTCTTTTCTTCAAAATTTTTTAACATGTTTTAAGGGGAAAAGAGAACGGTTGTCTCACATAACCGCTCTCTTTTATTTTGCATACAAATTGCCTCTTTTACCCGTTCTATAAACTTTACACATCGCTTAGCAGAAGAACGGTCCTAAGGCGTTATATAAGGCCCATTTCAACCGTTCTCTATTGTATTTTTTTATAGTAGTGATTACTCTATTTATTTAGGAATCATGCTTAGATAATATCATGTTAGGATGTTTTTATGATTCCTAGTATCATGTTTAGGGTGATAACTAATATTCCTAATATCATGTATGTTTCTAGTATCATGCTTAGGTTGCTTCCTATTTTCTTCTATCATGCTAGTATCATGTTAGGAATAAAGCTTTGATCTTTATTGCTTAGTGACATGCTAGAATTTGTTATTAATCATGTTAGTATCATGCTTAGGATCTTACTAATATTATTATGCTTTAAGATTGAGATTATTATGATGATGATTGTTATTATTATGTTACTTGATATATTATTGTTATTGCTTGATCGCGCTCTCTCTTGCAGGTTTAAAGGGAATTTGTACATGTAATCACGCTTAATAATATAATTAATAATCTTGTTTAGTCTAATATGATTATAATTCAAGTGATTGCCAACAATAGATTTGATTGTGCATTAATATTTAACCAACATAGATTAAACAGGTTTAAGGTTAACCTATTGGTTGTATGTTAGTCAGAAAGCGCACTTGAATATGAGAAGAATAAAGTAGTGGCCTATTGTCTTTCTTTTCTTTTTTGGAGGGGGCGGAATACTATTCTAGCCAAGGCCCATTTCATGTGTTAAGTGTCGCTAAAAAGTGGGCTTTTTCCTAAATAAGCTGTTTGCCATTTTAGGGCAGGTTCAATCTCTTTTAGGTTGGATTTGTACCTTCATCCCCAAATATCCAGTCATGGTTCCGGACCACTATGGAGTTAGCGATCTCATAGATTGTGAAGGGGTGTAACCTTTACCCTGTGAACGGTTTACAAGTTCCTAAAACTTGTTGGTGACTCTTTTACTCTAGCTTCCTTCTCTTTGGACACCACCATACTTTAGTTTATGATCACATTGGGCCTCAAGTGTGGGATGCTTAAAATATTCCCTGTACTTAGCAAGCAATGCTTGGTTAAAAATTTCAAAGTCACGGAAACCCATACCACTCATGGCCTTGGGTTTATACAGCTTTTCCCATGTTTACCAGTGCATCTTACGATGTGGGTTCAAAGACCCCCACCACAATCAAGCAAGTAGGGAGTGAATTTCCTCTAACAAACCATCCAAGTTCCTAAAAACACTCATCATATAAGTAGGAATGGCTTGGGCAACCGCTGTGATCATAATTTTCCTTCCCGGGCCTTGACAACAATTTTTCTTTCTATCACTACAACTATTTCCATACTCTTTCCTTTAAACAAGCAAAAATCACCTTATTAGATTTTCCGATGATTGTGGGAAGCCCTAAATATTTTTTATGTCGCTCCACCTCAGTACCTCCAAGAATATTATTCACGATTTTAGCCCTCTGGGAAACAGAAACACTTTTGCTTGATTGTTCTTATTGTTATTGCTTGATCACGCCTTTTATGCAGGTTTAAAGGGAATTTGTACTTGTAATCACGCTTAATAAGATAATTAATAACCTTGTTTAGGCTAATATGATTATAATTCAAGTGATCGACAATAATAGATTTATTTATGCATTAATATTCAACTAACATAGATTAAACAGGTTTAAGATTAATCTAATGATTGCATGTTAGTCCGAAAGCGCACATGAATACGAGTAGAATAAAGTAGAGGGTTATTTTATAGGGCGAGTTCTTTCTCTTTTAGATTGGATTCGTACCCTCATCTCCGAACACCAGTCATGGTTCCAGACCTATTAGAGTTAACGATCTCCTAGATCGTTAAGGGGTGTAACCTTCACCCTGTGAACGGTTCACAAGTTCCTAAAACTTGTTGACGACTCTTTTGCTCTTGTTTCCTTCCCTTTAGACACCACCATGCTTAAGTGTATGATCACAGTGGGGTTCAAATTTGAGGTAATAGCCATTATAATTTGGGTATCAGCCAAGAATCAATCCAATCTTTCGCGTACATATGTAATAGGATTAGTACCCTTGTGTCATGTGAAAATACTACCATGGTAGCCCAAAACACATAAACTACAATTATCAATTGGAGCTTTGAAGGCATCCATAACCCTTTCACTCCGGGAACATCCCCGACCCTCTTTTTCATTATGGTTAATAATTTCATTAAAATATCTAAACATAATGCAAGGAAGAGAACAATTATTTTTGATATGCTCCATCATAAACCTAGGGTTGAGTAATCCTTGCTCTAGGGTTCATCGTTCTTTGTAGTAGTGTTTTGTGGTTACTCTGTTTCATAATGATCGACATGTTTTAATATTTTTTTTAATTATTTAAATATTATTAATACTTTCTTCGTTCTTATTTTACTGAAACATAGAGGTGTCAAAATTTGACCTGACTCACCTGATCCGAAAAGTTCTAATTTAGATTTCGACTCGCATAAACATAATAATTTCTCATGACTCAATTTTGAACTAGATCCAACCCGATGTGACTTCACTGAACCCGATCTAGCAGCGGTATAGCTGTCCCTCCATTTTCCAAGGAAAAAGGTTTTTTTTTTTTTTTTTTTTTTTTTTTTTTTAAGAATATACAGTAAAACTGTATAAATAAAAACACTTACAATAAATATCACAATGATGTTTATGGTATAGTGGTTGCCTTGGGAATAAGCCTTGGTTTTAGGTTCAAAACCTTCTCTAACGTTTTACACCTTTTTCCCTCTTGTTTTTAGATTTTTTTTTTCCGAAACCTTCTTTTTGGATTACTCTAGTGTTCAACAAGTTTTTTTTTTTTTTTTTTTTTTTTTTTTTTTTTTTTTTTTTTTTTTCAAAAAAAAAAATTTAATTTAATTTTTTTTCCCTATTTCAGTATTTCCTCTTCTTTTTGGATTACTCTTGATGAGTCTATTTTATATATATTTAATTCTTTCGTCCCACGGTCATATTTGTGCTTATTTGAGCTCTGCGTAGCTATTTTTTATTACTAATATACGTTTTCTAGTGTTTTTGTAGAGTTGGTATTATTTTATAGTAATTCGCAGAATTATGTCAATTCTCGAGTTTATTGAGCCACTACAAAGATATTAGAGTCGGATCGTATTTTATGACCGTATATTTAAAGCCTAAGACCGATTTAAAGTAATTTAACTTAGTGAATAAGGCTTGATTAGAGAAGATAAAGGTCTACAATATTATAAAGGAGTTGGACTTAAGTCAAGAAAGTCCATGACTCCATGTAACAAATCCAAGGTGCAAAGAAGCCCAATCCCAAGTGCTGGGCGTGTAATAGCGGGCCCGATCGGGTGACCCAATGCCCGATCGGATGAGTATGCTGTAAGGAGCATTAAGCCGGTTTTTGCTCTTTGATTTGGGCCCAATATAGTACTCCGTATCTGACAGGAGCAGCTTTTGGAGAGAGTTTCAGTGGAATTGGGTTTTGTTGCTTATATAAACCCAATTCACAATTTTGGGGGATTAGCTTTTAATATAGTTCTAAGTTCTTGCTTTTCATAATTATTATTAGCTTTGTTTCTTGAATTAATATTAGTGGCAGCCTTTTTTTTTAAATTTCTAAGGGCTTGTTTGGCATCATTTTTGATTTTCAGTTTTCTGCTTTTTTGAAAACCAAAAACCAAAAACAGGAAACAAGAAAAAGGTGTTTCCACTTTTCTGTTGTCAGTTTTCAAAATTATCATGATTTTAATAAGTCTATATATTTTTTGATTTATTATGTGACATATATAATACACTTTTAAAAAACAAAAAACCAAAAAACAGAAAATCACATCGATGCCAAACGAACCCTTAGTTTTGACTTTTGATTTAACTTCTTGAACCTTGATTAGCTTTCCCGTAGCTCTTTTTTGCCTTTCTTTAGTGTAGCTTTCATTATTAGCTTTTCCATTAGTCGAATTCTTTAGTTTTGATTACTTATATTCTTTAATTCTTCTATTATTGTTTCACTTTAGCTATATTGTTATTATTATTGTCAAGTTGTATTTATATTACTTTGTTTTATTTAGTTTTGATTGATTTATTTGTCTTCACTTTAGTTAATTTGTTTTCATATTTGTTTTATTATTATTGTTTACATGGGCGGAGCCAAGGGGGCTGGTGGTGGCCCGACCCCCCATGGCCCAAATGGTGACGTATATAATATGTATTTTGGCCCCCCTAAAGTAACAAATAAATAGCAAATATTTACCCTATATATCATGTTGTTAGTGATAGCCTAGTTGGTTGTTGGAGCTTTGTATGGAGAGGGAGGTCTAAAGTTCAACTCCCCACTATGAGCTTTTTTTTTTGGGTTAACTTTATCGTTTTTTTCCCCCCTTAGGTTTTTATTCTTGACTTCACCCCTGATAGTTTAATCATGCTTAATTTAATTGCTTTGTTTAGTTTAGATTTAAGTATGCACGAGTATTTTAATACTAGGGTTCTTGGGGATCTATAAATAATATGAAGGGTTAATTTATTATTATTGATTGTCAATGCTTGATTGATTTCCTATTGATTGATTTAATGATATGCAATTGGATTTGCACAGATTTAATTGTATGAGTTATGCAATATTGATTCGAGATGAGAATTGACGTTTAGGCTTAGTTTCAATAGGCAGGTTAATTTATAAATGGTTAAGTCAATATTAATTATGTGATTGTAATACGTAGTGAAAGCCCTTTATGATCTGATTAATTGATGCATTGAT